CTTCTCCTCGATGAGGCCCACCCCTAGCCCGAAGGCCAGAAAGACTGCCCTTCCGCAAGGGCCCGCGCCGCCCCGCGCCCGCACCACGAACTGCCGCTGCAGCCGCGCCGCCAGCCCGGCCACAGACTGGCGGAAGAAGTGGAAGCGGTCGGGGAGCCTGAGCCCGACCCTGCGAGACTCCGCGCCAGGTCCCGCGGCCCAGCCCGGACGCTCCCGGCGGACCCAGCCCGCCGCCGGGCCCGGCCGCCCCCAGCCGTAGGCCCGGCCCGGCTTGCCGGTGAAGCGCAGCAGCAGCGCTCGACCCAACTGCAGGCCAGAGCCCAGCGCCTGTCGCACCGCCATGGTTGTGCCGCGGCCCGGTGCCACCGCCGGCGTCCGCCTGCCGGTCACAACAAACTTCGGGGTAGTGCCTCTGCGCAGGCGCCGGCGCTCGTGGGCAGGGCCGGCCCCCGCGGCAGTTCCCCGACTCGGCGCGCGAGGGCGCTATACTCGCATCGGCCCCTCGAGCCGTGACTTTCCCCTTTGCGCTTTGGGAGGGTCTTTTCAGATAGGTCCTGAATGTGAACATCACTGGTGCTGGGCGAAATGGAGAAGTCGAGAAGAGAAACTGATATTTATTGCCAACCACCGCGCTAGGCCCTTTACGTCTTTTAATTTACTTAACAGCCCCACCAACAAGATAAAAATACCATTTTTATAGATGAGAAAACCAAGGCATAGTAAGGGGCAGCATTCGAGGTCATGTGCAGGTACCTAGCAGAGCTGAGGCTAAAGTTCCCATTGTCCTAAGTGTTGAGTGCTTGCCCTCCTCAGTGGCCTTAAGCTGCTGTTTGTGTCCACAGTCCCTGGGCTTTTGAAGACCCCAGAAGAAATCTCACTCAAGGGACACAATTTGTGAATGAGTGAGCTGAGGTCCCAAGAAGCAACTTGCCCAAAGCCACACCGTTTCTTAATGGCATATGGCTGCTAACTACAGAACATATGCGCACACACTCACACACACAGTTGTCCACTTGTCCCCTGGCTAGGGGACAAGTCCCACCATAGCCAAGTAAGCCTGGAGGACAGAACTCTTCAGACAAATAATCCCACCTTCATCAACAGCTCCTATCTGCATATCCTTTGGCTTCATATTTAAGGAGAAGGGGATTTATGAACTGAAGCCATAGTCTCTGGCTTCAGCGGCAGGGGGGCAAGATGGTGGACCTCCTGCCATTACCCCCAAGACCCAAGACAGATATACTATAGGAAAGGAATGTGAAGGACAGCTGAAGTCAGTCCCCCAGGGAAAGGGAAGAATGCCATGTGAATCTGCCTAAGGGCAGGATTTCTGGTAAGCACCTGCTTTTACACAGGGAACAACAGATAAACTGAAAATCTTAGAAGCCTTCCCTGAAAGCTGGTTAATCAGAAGTCAACTTGGTTGGCCGGGTGTGGTGGCTCAGGCCTGTAATCCCAGCACTTTGGGAGGCTGAGGCAGGTGGCTCACTTGAGGCCATGAGTTCATGACCAGCCTGGCCAGTGCTGCAAAACACTATCACTACTAAAAGTACAAAAATTAGCTGGGCATGGTGGCACATGCCTGTAATCCCAGCTACTCAGGTGGCTGAGTCAGGATATTGCTTGAACCCAGGAAGTGGAGATTGTAGTGAGCCAAGATCACACCACTGCACTCCAGCCTGGGTGACAGAGTGAGACAGTCTCAAAAAAGAAAAAAAGAAAAACCAACGAAACACATCAACTTGGTGGATTAGCATCCAAGATGGGGTTGCTTTAGCTTGCACAGTGTGTGTGTGCATATATGTAAGTGTGTGTGCGCGTGTGTGTGTGTGTGTGTGTGTGTGTTCTGGTTTCTCTTATAGTCTTCCTTAAGGGAAGAATTTTATGGATCTTATGATATCCAATCACATTTATTTGGGAGAGACACAGATGGATTTCCCATTTATATAGAGGCACATGAATATCAGATATTTTCTTTAACTTTTTTGGATCAACCTTAGGGAATTTTAAATTGCAATTTTAAATTCTACACTGAAATTGTCATTTGAAGAATGATAAGGAAAAGAAAGTTGGAGAAATCTTACACTCCAATGACTACAGGCTCACTCATGGAAACTTAGCTGAGGCACAGATGACTAGATTTGAAGTTTAAATCTAGTCATCTGAAGCCAGGTTTGCAGTGGTTCACTCCAGCACTTGGGGAGGCTGAGGCAGGAGGATCTCTTGAGGCCAGTAGTTTAAGACCAGCCTAGGCAACATAGTGGGACCCCATCTCTACAGATAATAGTTTGAAAGACCCCGCTGGGCATGGTGGCGTGTGCCTGAGGTCCCAGCTACTTGGGAATCTGAGGCAGGAGGATTGCTTGAGTCCAGGAGGTTGAGGCTGCAGTGGGTTGTGAATGTGCCACTCCACTCCAGCCTGGGTGACAGAGTGAGACTCTGTCTTTAAAATAAAATAAAATAGGCCGGGCGCGGTGGCTCACGCCTGTAATCCCAGCACTTTGGGAGGCCGAGGCGGGTGGATCACGAGGTCAAGAGATCGAGACCATCCTGGTCAGCATGGTGAAACCCCGTCTCTACTAAAAATACAAAAATTCAGCTGGGCATGGTGGCGTGTGCCTGTAATCCCAGCTACTCAGGAGGCTGAGGCAGGAGAATTGCCTGAACCCAGGAGGCGGAGGTTGCGGTGAGCCGAGATAGCGCCATTGCACTCCAGCCTGGGTAACAACAGCAAAACTCCGTCTCAAAAAAAAAAAAAATAAATAAATAAAATAAAATAAATCTACTCATCTGTTGTGCCTCATTACTGTAAACCAAAAATAAGGTCCTAAGCTCCCCAACTGACTAAATGGATCCCCTTTGGGCCAAAGAAAATCTAAAACACTAAATTTCAGATCATGACAAGAAGGGAGGTCGGACACACCCCCTTATGCCCCCTCCCTTTTGGAATTTAAGCACAACTGACCAGCATTAATTGTCAATAGTGCGCATAAGACTGATGAAACAGGTTCTCTGTTGCTAGAGAGTTCACCTTACACCCAGGACATTAGAGAGTCTGTTTTGTCAGTCTTATGTGCACTATTGACTATTAGTGCTGGTCAGTTCCAACTTGACGCTGCTTTTTAACTGTCCAGTGTGGGGGGGTTCTCCTTGTTCATTGCCTAGACAGACCTGATTTATCAAGACAGGGGAACTGCAATAGAGAATAGGTTTAATTCGTGGAGAGCCAGCTGTACAGAAAACCAGAGGTTTTATTACTACTCAAATCAGTCTCCCTGAAAACTCAGTGATGGTGGTTTTTATGGATAATTTGGTGGGTAGAGGGTCAGAAAGTGGGGAGTGCTAATCGGCTGAGTCAGAGATGAAATCATAGGGAATTGAAGCTGTCCTCTTGTGCTGAGTCAGCACAAGAATCTTGGCTTCTGCAACCCCCCTTATCTTCACTGAAGCATCCCTTTCTACTGACTTCCATTCTTCAGACAAAGCTTAACTCTTTCAACAAATTGCAAGTCAGAAAATCTTTGACTCCACCTAGAACCTATGAGCATCCACCGCTTCCTGGGGAGGGGCTGCAAGATCAGATGAGCCAGTTCATCGATCTGGGTGGTGCCAGCGGATGGATCCATTGAGTACAGGATCTGCAAAATATCTGAAGTACCGATATTAGGTATTTCAATAGTAACACTATCCTGAGGGGCAATTTGGGGAGGTTCAAAATCTTGCAGCCTCCAGCTGCATGACTCCTAAACCATAATTTCCAATCATGTGGCTAATTTGTTGGTCTTGCAAAAGCAGTCTAATGCCCAGGAGGAAAGGGTGTTTGTTTTGGGAAAGGGCTGTTACTGTCTTTGTTTAAATATTAGGCTGTAAGTTCCTCCCAAAGTTAGTTCAGCTTACACCCAGGACTAAAGAAGGACAGCTTGGAGGTTAAAAGCAAGATGAGGTCAGTTAAGTCAGATCCTTTTCACTCTTGTAATTTTCCCAGTTATAATTTTTGCAAAGGTGGCTTCAGTATAGCATCATATGACAGATAGCATACCCTGGAGGAAATAAAAATATTTTACCCCAAAATATAAATTTCCTTGAAATATTTTGAAATGGTCCTACAAAACCATCTTTTGTGGGGGAAGTTTGCATCTGCAGAGAATCTCCTTCCCTTTATAGGTCTTTTCAGGATCTAGGAGAGTGTTAACTAAGAATCTGACACCTTTTAAGAGACATTTACCATCTATACTCTCTGAAGCCTCCTACTTAAAGGCTTCATCTGTATACCAAGAAGTTAATTCAAGCATTTCTTTCTACTGACTTCAACTCTTCAGACAAGGCTTAATTGTTTCAACCAACTGCCAGTCAGAAAATCTTTGACTCCACCTAGAACCTGTGAGCACCGACTGCTTCAAGACAGTCCACCTTTCCAGGCTGAACCAATGCATGCCTTCCATGTATGGATTTATATTTTTGCTTGTAACTTCTGTCTCCCTAAAATGTATAAAACCAAGCTGTCACCCAACCACCTTGGGTATCCTTTCTCAGGACCTCTTGAGACTGTACTCTGAGCCATGATTAGGCATACGGCTCAGAATAAACTTCTTTACATATTTTACAGAATTTGATTAGCCAGGTGTGGTGGCGGGCACCCGTAATCCCAGCTACTTGGGAGGCTGAGGCAAGAGAATTGCTTGAACCTGGAAGGCGGCGGTTGCAGTGAGCCGAGATCGCGCCACTGCACTCCAGCCTGGGCGACAGAGCAAGGCTCCATCTCAAAAACAACAACAACAAAAAATAAAACAAACAGGAGGTGTTGGCTTTATAGCAGCCGATAAGTAATGGTGAAATAAATATATGAGCTTTAATAATCCTCGCCCCGCCCCTCGACAGGCTCAGAGCCCCACCTCCACACGGAGCCCCGCCCCCAGCGCTCAGCCCCGTGCCCTCCCGCCTCAGGACCCGCCCCCACTCTGATCCCCGCCCCCGCGCTTAGCTCTGTACCCCGCCCGATTTTAGGACCTGGTCCAGCTCACCTGGATCTCCCGACAGGCCGAGGCTGCCCGCCGGCTCTCCGCTTGCTTCTCCTCGATGAGGCCCACCCCTAGCCCGAAGGCCAGAAAGACTGCCCTTCCGCAAGGGCCCGCGCCGCCCCGCGCCCGCACCACGAACTGCCGCTGCAGCCGCGCCGCCAGCCCGGCCACAGACTGGCGGAAGAAGTGGAAGCGGTCGGGGAGCCTGAGCCCGACCCTGCGAGACTCCGCGCCAGGTCCCGCGGCCCAGCCCGGACGCTCCCGGCGGACCCAGCCCGCCGCCGGGCCCGGCCGCCCCCAGCCGTAGGCCCGGCCCGGCTTGCCGGTGAAGCGCAGCAGCAGCGCTCGACCCAACTGCAGGCCACAGCCCAGCGCCTGTCGCACCGCCATGGTTGTGCCGCGGCCCGGTGCCACCGCCGGCGTCCGCCTGCCGGTCACAACAAACTTCGGGGTAGTGCCTCTGCGCAGGCGCCGGCGCTCGTGGGCAGGGCCGGCCCCCGCGGCAGTTCCCCGACTCGGCGCGCGAGGGCGCTATACTCGCATCGGCCCCTCGAGCCGTGACTTTCCCCTTTGCGCTTTGGGAGGGTCTTTTCAGATAGGTCCTGAATGTGAACATCACTGGTGCTGGGCGAAATGGAGAAGTCGAGAAGAGAAACTGATATTTATTGCCAACCACCGCGCTAGGCCCTTTACGTCTTTTAATTTACTTAACAGCCCCACCAACAAGATAAAAATACCATTTTTATAGATGAGAAAACCAAGGCATAGTAAGGGGCAGCATTCGAGGTCATGTGCAGGTACCTAGCAGAGCTGAGGCTAAAGTTCCCGTTGTCCTAAGTGTTGAGTGCTTGCCCTCCTCAGTGGCCTTAAGCTGCTGTTTGTGTCCACAGTCCCTGGGCTTTTGAAGACCCCAGAAGAAATCTCACTCAAGGGACACAATTTGTGAATGAGTGAGCTGAGGTCCCAAGAAGCAACTTGCCCAAAGCCACACCGTTTCTTAATGGCATATGGCTGCTAACTACAGAACATATGCGCACACACTCACACACACAGTTGTCCACTTGTCCCCTGGCTAGGGGACAAGTCCCACCATAGCCAAGTAAGCCTGGAGGACAGAACTCTTCAGACAAATAATCCCACCTTCATCAACAGCTCCTATCTGCATATCCTTTGGCTTCATATTTAAGGAGAAGGGGATTTATGAACTGAAGCCATAGTCTCTGGCTTCAGCGGCAGGGGGGCAAGATGGTGGACCTCCTGCCATTACCCCCAAGACCCAAGACAGATATACTATAGGAAAGGAATGTGAAGGACAGCTGAAGTCAGTCCCCCAGGGAAAGGGAAGAATGCCATGTGAATCTGCCTAAGGGCAGGATTTCTGGTAAGCACCTGCTTTTACACAGGGAACAACAGATAAACTGAAAATCTTAGAAGCCTTCCCTGAAAGCTGGTTAATCAGAAGTCAACTTGGTTGGCCGGGTGTGGTGGCTCAGGCCTGTAATCCCAGCACTTTGGGAGGCTGAGGCAGGTGGCTCACTTGAGGCCATGAGTTCATGACCAGCCTGGCCA